AAAAATATAGACAGACATCAAAACCTGTTGGCTGGATATGAACACTATGAAAACAACATTAAAATGTTCTTCTGTGTGCAGAGGCTTTGTGCATCACATCCAGTTCATGAAAAAAATGCCCCCAAATATAAGATAAAATCTAAAAATTGTAACCAATCATGAACATTGCTTCTAAAGCCAAAACATGACAAAAAATGCTGAGTCATATATCTATCCTGACTTTTTAAAAGGACCCACTCAAAACAGGCAGTCATGGATTTCACCGGTCAACTGACCCAACAAGCTTCAATGCCAGGCTTGCACAACCAGTTTTCACATCTTCTAGGTCACTTGCCCACAAAAAGAGACATTCTGCCTTGACCCATTATACCAGCTATACAGATAATTTTAACACATCTTATCACCTTTTCTTTCTGCCTCACTGGTAATATTTTATTGTTTTCATTTGTTACTCTTCAATGATACATGATATATAACACAATCATCTATGATAAATTTTTGGACCATTATAGTTGGATGCTTCATTTCTATCCATTTTAACCCACCTTTCAGAATTTTCTTATTCATATCATTTAGTATTTTTTGTTAATCATCTGATGTTTACAGCAAATCATAGATTGTTCTCATTGTAAATGTACAATGAGCCCCTCACTCAGCTTTTCATTCACTGGGCAAATAACCCCAATGCTGCTTCTCTGTTCTTGTATGTGTCAGTGTATACAAAAACTGGGAAATGTCTACTGCTTGTTCACAAGTGAAACAAAAGATTAATGACATGGTGGAAAATTAAGGCTCGAATCCTGATTCCAATATATTTGGTTGTTTATTCAAAGATTTACTAGCACAGACTGGCAGCTAGGTACATGACGCATGAGACAACTTCTGTCATGACAGATTAACAGAGCAGGTTTCCCCTTCAACCAGTGAAAATGCTCTTTTTCCTACAATACCTTTGCCTATCTCTACATCATGATGACACCCTGGGCAAGCTGAACTTTGGTGCCCTTACAAGTATAATTTTAAAATATTTTCGTAAGTAGAGAAACTGAAAATGTAGAATAACAAGCTTATTACAATATACAACTTAGTAAAAACTAAAAAAAAAATTCATTATCCTACCTAAAACATTTTCTTCTAACCTTTAGATTTGCAAATCTTTTCATGACAATTTCTACAACTATCTTCTTTACAAGATCATTTTCTATTGGCAAAATAACCAAAGAATTTAATGTCTTGAGCCATTGACAACTGCAAGTATGTTTTTATAAGCTTTGGTATTTATGTAGTATGGCTGAGAGCAGTCACCCAAATCTGTGGGTTGCATTGAGAATAATGCTTACTATACCCATCACTGTGGACACTAGGGAGTGATAAGTATAGTAAACATTATTCTCAATGAAACCTACAGATTTGGGTGACTGCTCAGCTATACTACATAAACACTGGCTAATATACAAATTAATACAATTAGATTGCACTAGTAAATATTTTATATAATTCAAAGGTCGCTAAAGCATCATTAATCGTGGCAAATAAACTTTTAAAAGATATGCAAAATCTTATAGATGAAAACAATCATTATGTCTGCACTACCTGCACATCCATTTTTCTGTTATGGTGTTTGATCACCACACTATAACAAAGAATTAAGAATGTCAAAATTTTTACTCCACTCAAGAAATTTAATATATATTTTTTTTTTAATTTCATTTTATTTATTATTTTCTCTTTGTTTCCTTTTTGTTTGGAAGATCCCAATCATGACATAGAGGCATGTGTTGCCAGTTCCTTGAACCAGCCCTACAGCCACCAATGGAACTATCCTCAATTATAACTGTGACTGTGTCTGCAAACAGAAATTTCTAATGTTTGGTCAAGTGGATGGCTGCTTTGAAGATCCTATTTCATTGACTTTACTGCTGGTCATAAAAACATATGACTGATATAAAATCATTTACCATCCTCTTCTATGGGAGTGTTCTGACCACAGCAGTTATATTGCATCACAGTATCAAAAATCTAATAAATTGTTATTCCTACATTCAACTTATATAATACTCTTATAAATTATTATTTACTAAGTTTAATTTAACCTGGAACAAGGCTAGTATAGAGGAGTATTCAATTACTCTACAAGTAAAGATTCAATTAGCTTGCTGACTATTGTTTTATGACATGGACTTTTGTGGATTATTTACACTATTTATATTCAGACTATTGTCCTCATGGTCTAGTTGGTAAAAATGTTGGTTTGTGATTTGGTGACATAGTGATTGTGAGTTCAATCCTTGGGACAGGTAGTGGAAATGAGTGAGCAATAACTGAACAGTACTAAATAAAAAAAGAACTAGACGAGATATCCCTACATATGAGCAGTTGAACAAGAACAGTCTATACCCATAGATAAAATAAAGGGTTCAGTTCAGAATTCACTGTAGGTTACCCATATCGATATACACCTGAGGAAGACTGGAGAGTACAATGGTCAAAATGTTGTGATAAAAAAAACAAAGATGAGGACAATATTCTGAATATCAATAGTGTAAATAATAACTCTTCATCCCAGAAATCCAGACAAAAAAAAAACTATTGTGGGTTCTTTAACTAAGCAAATATCCAACTTTTCATATACCAATGTCTTTTGTCCATGCATATAGTCTTAGTACTTGTAAAGTTCCTGTTTATTAGTCAATTATATTTAAAATAAAGCAACACCTCTTTATTATAGGTTTTACAAATCAATTGTCATACTAAACAAGTCAAAGCTTGTTAATATCCTGTTTTTTATCTAAAGACACTTTTAGAATTGGTCAGGTCAAGAAAACAAATCTTAAAGCTTTCAGCATTTCTTGATCTGTTTGAATGAGCATCTAAGGTGGTGTTTCTCAATCTCTTTAAGCAATGAAACATCTAGGAGCAAATGAAAATATCACAGCACATTTAGCAAAATTTTTAAAGGGTATACATTTAAATGTTATGAAATAAAACCATAGATTTTAAAAAATACACACAAATATGCACTTATTTTATTTCAATGTTTCTATTCAACTATTTGTGCAGCTTATCTAGTGTGAAACCTGTGCCTGTGTTTTTTTGTGATTTCTTCAATGTTTAGTCGAATGTACGATAAGCAAACCCTCATTTCTTCTTCAGTTGAGTGTAGTCTTTTTCACTTCTTATTTTTTATGTTATTTAGGGTTTCTTGATCATGAGAAATGGTGACCAATTCTTCGTCACATAACTGAAGTTCAATATTAGAAGGAACATAGCAAAAAGAATTATTTGAAAAAAAGTGTAATACTTATTCATTTATTCAAATACTAACACTGTACCATTACGACTTCCACACACACACACACACACACACACACACACACACACACACACACACACACACATATATATATATATATATATATATATATATATATATATATACTGTGAAAAATTTTCATGGGACAGCAGTTGAGAATCACCAATCAAGGACACACAAGGCACAGTGGATAAAGGTGTTGGTTAGATCCAGCGAGTTCAATACCCCGTTAAGGCAGTGGAGAACTTTCAGAGAGAAATTAACAGGAGATAACTGACATCCATTAAACATGGCATGTGGAACTAGAACAGTCTACCCCAGTGAGTGAAATAAAGGGTTAAGTTTGACATTCCAACCACCTGAAGAAGGCTGGAGCATATACCGGCTGAAACATTGTAATAAATATGGCGACAAAGATGAGGACAATAGTCCGAATAATGTAAATAATGTACATAATACCTCATCTCAGAAATATAGACAGGTATGTTGTAGTGTAGCGGTTATTGGCTGAAAATGAGAAATTGGACAGCCAAGTTCAAATTCCAGTTGGGTTTATTGTGTGCAAATACCCTTATATCCATCTCTTCTCCTCCCTACTCTGGAAAAACCACTGCCTAGTTGGTCATGAATCGAAAGAAACATGATCGCCCAATCATACATCACATATAGCACTTAAGTGAATCTAGGAATTTCAAGCTGAACTCTTTATTCGATTCATGAGTAGAAGGCTGTTGTCCATGCTAGGGGAGATAACTCATATTAATTCTGGTTTCGTCCATACAATCCTGCTTTTCCTTTTTCCAGTATATAACTTTCACTAGCCAACCCATAGATTGAACTCATAACCACTTTAGAAATACCTAACCAAGTCTTTTACAGTGGAATTTTGAAGTTTTAAACGTGATATCTGTTCTTTTCAATTAAAGAGTTTGATTTTTAAATACCCAGATTATTATGACAGACACCTAAAACAGAAGAGGTTGAAATATGATTAATAATGTATCTGAATAACAGTGTATAATGATAAGTCTTTATCTCAGAAATTCAAACTGTGTAAAGAAATCTTACTTAATTTTTTGTATGTCTTTTATTAACTTATTCTGCTGGGCAAAGTGGGTATTTTGAAATACACCAATGCACGGGCAGGAGTAGGCAAAGAATGTTCGAGATTTTTCCAAAACCTAGCAGACTACATTCGTGACAGGAAAAGTCATTTATTCGCTTTTTTCTGCTTTTTGAAGAGCACTGATGTACACATCTATTCCATAGAGCTGGGTTAAAAAATGTTGTCTCTTGCTCATAGGCTGAGCTTGAATCACATTTGCTCCTTATACAATACCACCGGTTTTATCGGATAAGTCATCCACGGGGCCCGGAAGAATCAAAAATCAAAATTATTGAATCGGTTAATAAGGAGAAAACAAAAGACACCGAAGAGGAGTGTGACAAATAGCCAATGAAAAAGCTCCACGATACTAAAATCCATCTTGTAAATATGTACCGTGAACTGACGTCACGCACAAAACTGTGACGTATACAATACTTGTGTACACACGCACACATTCGCACTGTGGCCGCTGTCGCATTTGGGATTCGGCGGCCGTGCTTATAACACGAACACGTTGACGTATTTTATTTTCATTTAAAGGAATTATTTTTTAACATTGAAAAACTCAGTCTGCATAGCATGGAAAATAAAAACGAAGTAAGTAAGAAATGATATTTACAAGTATGAACTTAAATTAGAGAACAGCATTTTTATTTCTCATTTCTCTCTCTAAGAATAAAGAGAAAGAAAGGGTACAAAGTAACAAAACCCTTCAGGTAACCAATTAAAAAAAAGAAGATATTTTATTAATTAAAGCAGAAGTTAAATGACAGTTGACTAGCTCTTGTGTTGCGTGCATGGTTTGCGAAGTTCTTACCATGAACTTAGATGAAGCGAAGAAAACTCATTTTTATTTTCTATTCTTTTCTTTAATCCTTTCTTAACCGCTTTGGCTCAGCGGTAAAAAAGCAGTCTGGGTGCCAAAAGATTTCGAGGTTTCATAAGTGTTTGGTCGTTAAAACTCGTGATCATTATTTTTTATCAATTAACTATTGAGATTGGTCAGCAGAATATATCAAGAGTACTCCTTTTCCTTCGCAAACAGTTCTGTGGTTGTAAAAATATCAACACGTGTGACGTGCGGCAAGTGTCAGAATTTTTTTTTTTTTTGCTAGATGCATATTCGTTTTTGGATTAAAAACTTATAATCAATGATCACTTATGACAGAATTGTGATTTTATTTATTTATTATTAATCAGCTGTTCTGTTTGATGAAAAATTAAGTGTCAATGCTTTTTTTTTTCTTTGTTTTTGAACATGCATTATTCTGTCTTAAACTATATCCCATTGAACTTCTTAATCTTGTCGCTTTAAATTTGGTTTCTCATGAAGGAAAGAAATCAGTTGTGAATTGTAATTTTTTTTTGTAAAGTTAAATCGATTTTATTTTGTAGCGTAAATTTATAGGAAATATTACATTCCAATATTTTGCGAATATTGAATTGTTAAAAAAGAAAATAACATTCTTTTGTTACGATAATTAAAATTTATATAACATTCATTGTGTGAAAAAGATCTTTAAAATAAACTTTTATTATAAAACTAAAAGTGAAACATTATCCCGAAATTAAAAACAAATGTTTTATTAATTAAATAATTTAGATATTTTAATTAAATTAATCTTAAACTTCTCCAACGCATTTTTAGAGTGAATTTTTTTAGTCCTTTCCATTTTTACGCGATTTTTTTTCACTGAAAAAGCGGAAAGTAGCTGGTAAAAAAAGTCTAGAATTGGGGCCATAAAAAAATGAATTTAAAAAATTATATATATCATTCATTTGCTTTTATTTTCAAATACATTTTTTATTTTTTATTTTTTTAATATTCATTAATATTCCCATTTGTACCGATATACTTGTTGGTTCCTTTTTCTTTGAGAAGATGCTTTATGAAGCCAGCTCCTCTCTTGTTTGAGAATAAACTAAAAAAAAGTTTCTTATAAAAAAAAAAAAAAAAAAAATTATTTTCATGAATCTTCTGAATTGATAACTTTTTGTGATTGTATCCCCCAGATCATTTCGTTCATTAGAAGCGGACCAACCATCACTAATGATCGTAGAAAAAAAAAACCTTCTTGTTCAATACGTCTATTTTGGTTTGGATGACTGCTTCTTGAAAGTGCTTCTCGATCTACCAGGAACAAATTCTACAAAGTAATTAAATTCTTCAGAATTTCTTTAAATTCCTCCAAAGAGCCATTGAGTATATTAACAAAATTACTTACATTATTGCGCATTCGAATTCTAAACTTTTACCAAGTAACTTAGTTTTTAAAAGTTAAAAAAAATCGTCAACTTTTTTTTTTTTTTAATAACAATAATTAATGATTGTCTTTTTTGTGAATAATCTTTTTTTTTTTTTTTATCTTTTTTCTTTTTGGTGGGGGAGTGTGTATTGAACACTAACACAACAGTCAGTATATTAAAAAAATATTTTTTTTAATTATATCTTAATTTTCAATTTGATGGATCATTTCTGCTTTTTGTTTTTGTCTACTCCACCGCCAATAATAAAAAAAAAAACGCAAAAAAAAAACTGATAAGTTTTTTTATTTCTTTTCAAAAGTTTCTCTTGTTATTAAAGAGCACTTTCAAACTTGTTAAAATACGTCGTACGACTTCTTATTGTCATTGTCTGACAAGTATGAGTTACAAAAATAAAAAAGTTACTTAAAGAAAGGACTTAGAGCTATTATTAAGACTTAAGTCACTTTTAAGTGGTTGTAAAAACAACATAAATATCAGATTTGTCAGATTATTTGCCTCGATTTGTGATCATTATTATTTTTACTTGGTTTTCTGCCGCATTTTACAAATTATTCCACTCCAAAAGCGATATTTTGATTTATATCGCCAATATATATATATTTTTTAAAATTGTACCACAAAAAGTACAAAAACAAATTCCCAAGTGATTGATTCGCTTTGAGAATTAAAAAGGAACCATTGTAACTTTCTTATTTTTACTTTCTCTAACAAAGTCTGCTTCTTGATGAACGATTGTCATTGGCATTTTTGTGGGTAGTACAGTTTCAGTTTGACTCCGTTCACGAAAGAAAATTGATGCTTTTTTACTTAGTTACATATTTTTATATTGCAAGTAGTTTTGTCACGGACGAATAGACTAAGTAAAAAAAACTACATTATTTTCGATATTTGTTATTACAAATTATCGAAATATATCTCTCCTCTTCTTCACTGACCTAATGTCCTAATCATTTTAAAAACTAAACAAAACATCAAGTATTTCTCTTTGTATATCAATGAATTGACTTTTTTGTTCACACTTAATTTAAAACTAAAAGATGTTTAGAAAGTTTTATTTTTTCCATACACTAATAATTGAATAATAAAATTGTTTAAATAACTGGCTTTTGCTTTATATTTTTAAGAAAAAAAAATAACAAAACAAAAAACAGTTGTTAAAAATAGTCAAGAAACGAACTAAAGAATTGTTTTCAAGTTGTTTTTTTAATCTTTTGAGTTTTGCTTTTGATGAAATATTCTGGATTTTACAAGAATGATGTCAATTACAGTTGGCATTTGACTAAAAAATTACCCTTTTTTTCTTAAGTTTATTTATAAGAATTCAAATTAAAAAAAATAAATAAATTGATCAACGTGTTTTTTGAATTAGCATATTTTGGAAGGAAGTGGATCTAAAAAAAAAAAAACATCTTGTGCAATTTTCAACCAAACTTATGGCTAATTAAACAATTGTTATCTGTCTAATTAATCCAACTAGCTTGTTTGCGTATCTATTTCCATGGTCTTTTTTTGTTTTATCTTTCTATGCCTTTCGTTTCTGTCCCTGTATTTGCCACTCCTATTTATATAGATTCTAGCTTAAAGATTAACTGTGTAAAAAGTAGAATAATCTTTTAGTGATTGATTATTTTTTTTATCATTTCACTCCAAGTAAGGCAATAAAGCCATTAAGACACAAGGGGTTACTGAGTGTGAGAGAGTCTGAGAATAATTAAGGAGAGAGAACAAAAAAAACAAACAGATTTTTCCTTCTTGTAGGCTAGTTGCCAATCAAGGCTATAGTGCCCAGTTTTTTTTTTTACTATTCACTTATGGCTGGGGAGAGAAGTGATTACCTTTCAAACTCCCATGCATATTCACACATAAGTTAATGATATAATTGTATATATCAACAAACAGTATTTAGAAAAATAGTATGGCAAATTGGAAATTTTTTTTCAATTTTCTATTACATATTGATTTTAGTTTCCCAACCTTGGGGCCACAAACCCTCAAAGGAAAATTCGGGGAGTGGCAGCGTTTTTTTTTTAAATTACTAAAAATCAAGAAATTATCCAATTTAAATGAAAATTTCAGTACATATTCATTATTTACTTTTATAATGAATAGTTTTTTTTTTTATTTTAAAAAAATCTTATTCTTTTTGCAATGACCACCAATATTTTCATGACTAAATTTTACTGAAATTAGTACTTCTGCCAATAGGCATGGGGCCTCACATGGTTGAGAGGTTCAGGGTAGTAAGCATTGACCCTGTTGATTATTATAGTTGTTGATTGGCAATATAACTTGGGTAGAAAAAAAGTACAAAAAGCAAAAAAACTCTGCTGAAACTAGCCTTTTTAGGGCTCCAATCTCATCGGGGGTTCCTGTGTATTACACATCTCACTAGCCATACAGATACATGATGTATATTGTTAGTTGATGATTGACAATGTAATATCAGTTTAAAAATAATTTTAAAAAAAATGGTGGATGGCCATAAAACAGTGCTGGAAAAAATGGCAGAGGCCACAATGGGCCCCTACAAAAAACATGGGTCTTTTGGGGTTAAGACATGCTGGCCCAGCTTGCTCTTCCCTACTACTGTGACAGTGGACTCTTCTGCTTGTAAATATAGCAAGTAGCCACATTATAGTAGGATTTAAATAGTATTTGATTTCCTCAAGTATTTCCATTCTATGTATGAGTATTTAATAAACCTCTTCTTTATTTTCCCTATCTAGGATTCTATTCTTTCAATACTCTATGACCCTCCCAATTCTTGGCTATTTCGAACAATGATATCATTACAACACTAGCTCTTAGAAAAGTTTATCTTTTTACTATCCTCTCTTCTCCCTGTTCTACGTTTCATTTGTACAAGCTTGTTGAATAGGATACTCACTGTTTCTCTCTGCCTCTCTTACCTTCAGTATGTCCTGTGAGTGTCAAATTCTCTAAACTATCTTTCCTCATTATCTGTCCCAATAATTTCAACTGTGTATTTTTGATTCTAAGTGTACTTTTTGTTTCCATTTTCATTTCCCTTAACACTTCCATGTTGCATGCATGCTCTGTTTATAATATTCCTGGCATTTCTTTTTTTTTTTTTTTTTTTTTGAACCATGTTTCTGCTAAAAAGATTTGGTAGTGGGGGAGAGTGGGTGAAGAGAGTATATCACCTCTTTTATCCCGAATGTTGTATAAGGTGCATATGAAAATAAACAAGACTTGAAACTCTTGATATAAAATTTGAAAGGAACAAACATTGATATGAACAAAATACAAGATTTACAGCTTGCACAAAAATTTCCTTCTCTGCACCTTATTATTAAAGGCAAGATAAA